GATGAAATGCCACAGATCCCTTCATACAGAAGGATGCCAGGATGATTCATAAGGGAAGAGAATCCCATGCTACCTGCCCTCATTTCCTACCCGCCATGCTTGGCTGCATGAAGGTGTTCAGGTCTTTCTGCAGGGAAAGCCTGTCCCTTTGGAAGGGCTCCAGCCCAGTCTGCTTCCCCAACCCTGCAGAATTCGGTCTCTACACAGTGGACCTGAAACATGCTGGGACTGGGTCTGCAAGGCATAGTAGGTTTCCTGGATGGTAATTGTGATGGCCTCTAAAGGTTGAGGCTGCAGAGCCAGGAATGGCTGTCCCAGGAGCTGGGAAGATTGATAGGTGTGGCTTTTGTTCACCAAAAGGGCTCAAAGAGCCAAGGCTGCCTTTGTATTTGGAAGACACTCTGTGGATAGAGCATGACTGGATCCATTTGTGAGCGGGCCCAGAGACAACTATTCAATAATACTTTTATTTAATATCATTAAAGAATCACTTAATAATAGTTGACTTGGGAGGGGCACAATGGCTTATGCCTGTAATCCCAGCACTTTGGGAGGCTGAGGTAGATGGATCACCTGAGGTGAGGAGTTTGAGACCAGCCTGGACAACATGGTGAAACCCCATCTCTACTAAAACTGCAAAAATTAGCCAGGTGTGGGTGGCATGCACCTGTAGTACCAGCTACTCAGGAGGCTGAGGCAGGAGAATTGCTGGAACCCGAGAGGCAGAGATTGCAGTGAGCCGAGATTGCACCATTTTACTCCAGCCAAAGCCAACAACAGCGAGACTCAGTCTCAAATAATAATAATAATAATAATAATAATAATAATAATAATAATAGTTGACTTGGCTCATCTAGATAAAAGAAATAAACATTTTATAAATGTGGCAAAGAAAATTTCAGCATTTAGAGGCTGTTTTATTTTCTGGTTACTTGGTATAAAAGTTAGCTCAAGGGTATGTAAGAAATAGCTGATGTCTTTAAAAAACATTTAGAAGTCATGACTGCTGTTAATTTTTTTTGTATGTTTGGATTTGCAAAGCTAGCTCATGTCTGAGGCAGTCTGACCGTGCAATATCTGAAACTGGGTAACTGTCCCAGGAGATTTCATGGAGCCTTGTGTTGTGGTCTTGTGAGAACTCCTGCGATTGTCCTGTAGTCATCCTGGCTGTGCTCTTTGTTCACCCCAACTTTGTTTAAAAAAAAAAAAAAAGACTAGCTAATCAAGAATTTTTTTAAATAGGCTGTGTGTGGTGGCTCATGCCTGTAATCCCAGCACTTTGGGAGGCCGAGGTGGGTGGATCTCCTGAGGTCAGGAGTTCAAGACTAACCTGGCCAGCATGGTGAAACCCCATCTTTACTAAAACTACAAAAAATTAGCTGAGTATGGTGGTGGGCACCTGTAATCCCAGCCACTCAGGAGGATGAGGCAGGAGAATTGCTTGAACCTGGGAGGTGGAGGTTGCAGTGAACCGAGATCATGCCATTGTACTCTAGCCTGGGCAACAAGAACAAAACTCTGTCTAAAAAAAAAAAATTATTTTAAATATCTGCCTAACATTCAATGATGTATATGATTTGGGTCAAGACATAAAGAAGGACAAACTTCTTAACTCATCTTTATTATATTTACAGCATGTGAACCTGACTTTAGAGTTTTGGGCACCTTTAAACATTGTAAAATCCCATAGTGACAGCTTGCTGCAATCTTGTAACAGAGGCCTTTTGCTACTTGATTTTGACTGAGGAAACGTTAACCTGATTTCTTGGTACCCCAATTAGGCTTTACAGTTTTCTGCTTACTTTACCTCTCCTTTATTTTCTTTGTATCAGGAAGTACTTTTCTATTCCACACGATTTGACATTATCAGTAGAAGGATCACCATCGTATAATGGGCACATGAGCCCAAACTCTGAGTTCATGAAGCCTTGCAATGATCTCATCTCTAGCAGGGTAGACAAATTTCTGGCTCTTACTTTCCTTTCCAATGAGGTCAGTCATTTGGTTTGCTTTGGATTGCTCAGAATTCACCTTTATTTGTGCCATCAGGCTTCTAAAGCACTCCCAAACCTGATTATTAGGTGCCTATGCTATTTGGAGTATAAAGAAACTAAAAAAGAAAGTGGTTCCAGCAATATGGAAGTGTTTCTCTTCTCTCTCACACCACTCTGAAGTGGACCAGTGGGCTCTGCTCCATGAGGTCATTCAGGGATCTTCAGCACATGACTTTCCTCTCTGGGTCTCCAGTTGTTGCCACTTCCCAGCTGGTAGGAAAAGGGAAAGAGAGAGGACACGATTGTGTCTTATAATCAAGAGATGCTGATGTTCACATATCTTCCTCTTATTTTATTTATTTGTTCGTTTGTTTATTTATTTATTAATGAGACGAAGTCTTGCTCTGTCACACAGGCTGGAGTGTAGTGGCATGATCTTGACTCACTGCAACCTCTGCCTCTTGGGTTCAAGCGATTCTCTTGCCTCAACTTCCTGAGTGGCTTGGACTACAGGTACTACCATCATGTCCAGCTAAATTTTCTATTTTTAGTATAGACAGGGTTTCACCATATTGGCCAGGCTGGTCTCGAACTCCTAACCTCGTGATCCACCCGCCTTGGCCTCCCAAAGTGCTGGGATTACAAGTGTGAGCCACTGTGCCTGGCCTGTTTATTTACTTTTGAGACAGGATCTTACTCTGTCACCCAGGCTGGAGTTAGTTCAGTCATGGCTCACTGCAGCCTCAACCTCTCAGACTCAAGTGATCCTCCCACTTCAGCCTTCCAAGTAGCTTGGGTTACAGGCATACACCACCACGCCTGGCTAAGTTTTGTATTTTTTGTAAAGAAGGGGTCTCGCCATGTTGCCCAGGCTGTCTTGAACTCCTGGCTCAAGCAATCTGCCCACCTCAGCTTCCCAAAGTGTTGGGATTCCTGGCATGAGCCACCATGCCCTGGCCACTTCCCCTCATTTTAATGGCAATGTTTTTGTCATATGGTCTCACCCTACAGCAGGAGAGACTGGGAAACGGAGTCCCAAGTGAGCAGCCACATGCACAGCTAAAATTCTGAATTACTAGGGAAAGGCAAAGGGACATATTTTAGGAGAGACATCTAGCATTCTACCCCAGAAACGTAACTTCAAAACTATAAAGATTTTAACCAGAATAATTTCTGAAAGGTTTGCAGCAGCTTCCTTGCTAGAAAACAAAACAAAACAAACAACAAAAACCCTCTTTCTTTAGAATGCAAATGCTTTGTAAGTAAAGGATGATATTTTATGATGTAGACATTACTAGTTATGTCACACTCTTGCAACAAATATGAAATTTGAGCTTAGAGGTGTCTTTCTCCTCATTAGGAATTTTATTCTGGGCATTTTTTGGGGAGATTTATGAGAGGCATTGGGTAAGATGACTAAGATAATTGGGGGTTGTCCTGTGAAGGCTAGTTTGGGAGGGCTTGGGTATATTTAGCACAGAGGAGAGAACAGCAAGAATAACAAATGAGATTGTTATTTTCAGGGGTTGAGGAGCTGGAGGTAGGAGATGGCATGGCCCTCTTTTTTGCTTCTCCTAAGAGTAGAATTGTGAATAGAGGACAGAGGTTATTAGGCTTTAGCTTGACATTTTATTTCACTGTGTTAGTCCATTCTCGTGCTGCTATGAAGAAATACCCGAGACTGGGTAATTTATAAAGAAAAGAGGTTTAATTGACTTACACAGTTCTGCAGGGCTAGGGAGGCCTCAGGAAACTTACAATCATGGTGTAAGGCACCTCTTCACACGGAGGCAGGGGAGAGAATGAAAGCCAAGCTAAAGGGGAAGCCCCCTATAAAACCATCAGATCTCGAGAGAATGCACTCACTGTCACAAGAACAGTCTGGGAAAAATCACCCCATGATTCAATTATCTCCACCTGGTGCCCTGCCCTTGACATGTGGGGATTATTATAATTCAAGGTGAGATTCGGATGGGGACACAGAGCCAACCATGCCAGTTGTCCGTCATCTAGTGAGCTGACTTAGCTCTTTGACACTGGATGTTGTATATTCCTAGTTTCTGAAGTTGTTTACTCAGGTTTTAGACTTGAGAGGAATTGTTTAAGTAGAACTAAGACTTAGTTCACACAGGGAACATTCCTCATAAGGAGAAAAAAAAATATTCTGTATCCATCTTGTCTGTCTTTTTCCCTCAGTAGGGAGTATCATCCAAACATTGTAATGCTGTCAACCATACTGCTTGTATAGTAATCTATCATGGGACCTCTGAGGCTTTCAAACACAACACTTGCAAATTTTCTGTTCCTTGCATAGTAATGCTGTCAACCACACTGCTTGCAGAGTACTTTCTGGGCTTTCAAACGCAAAACTTGCAATTTTCTATGCCTTAAAGTTGGTCCTCAGGCCTGTCTCAGATTCTTCATAAAGATCTTGACTTCCTCTCCACTCAAGCCATCTCTCTCCATCCTTGGAAACCTCATAGTACATCATGCATGATTTTCTTGTTGGATTTATTTTCCCTTTAAAGGAATAGCTGTGTATTATCTCAGCTCATTCAGCTGAATGACTGCCTTCCTCATCCTTATACCCCCTGCACTGTTTAGGACAAAGCCTTTCCACAGTAGGCACTCAAAAACACTTCCTGACTTGGACTGGGTAATTCTCCGACCTCATGGAGTTTAGACTTAGAGTTTGCTATTGTGGGTATCAATCTTGCTCTTTGTATTGACTCATGAAATGCTCATCTCATCCATCCACCTCTTCTTAATCTGTAAAATAAGTGGCTGAATGAGTTGGTCTCCAGGCTTCCTTCCAGCCCAGATTCCTTCTGACTCAGTTCTGAACTGGAGCAGACACTTGGCTGCCCAGACATTGGCAGGCTGTGGGGGAACCTCATTACCTGGATGGTGCATTGCCCAGGTCATCACGCTGACACCTGGCATGTCCCGGTCAGGCCACGGGGTGGCAGGGGTGCAGCCAGTGATGGCGTGTGCTGCCCTCCCCAGGTACGTGTGCATTGCCATGGAGGCTTTGGACCAGCTGCTCATGGCCTGCCACTGCCAGAGCATCAACCTCTTCGTGGAGAGCTTCCTCAAGATGGTGGCCAAGCTGCTGGAGTCAGAGAAGCCCAACCTGCAGATCCTTGGAACCAACTCGGTAAGGAGCGGCCCGGGGGGGATCCTGGGCTTCCACCCACATCCTGGGGGTTGGCAGGGGAAGGGGAGACCTCAGGGTCAGCATTGTCACATTTTGTTCCTGTTTAGTTCCCAACCCTAAGTGTGACACACTGCTTGTTTTGGGGTTTCCCTTTGTGTGAACAAAGGGCCCTTTCATTTTTTAAACAAATTATATAGATATATAATAAAATAATTTTTAAAAACAGAATTCACTACTTTCAAGCATCCCATTTTAAAACTCAGTGGTGGCTGGGCATGGTGGCTCACACCTGTAATCCCAGCACTTTAGGAGGCCAAGGGTTATATCACTTGAGGTCAGAAGTTCGAGACCAGCCTGGCCAACATGGCAAAACCCCGTCTCTACTAAAAATACAGAAAAAAAAAACATTAGCCTGATGTCGTGGCACACACCTGTAATCCAATCCCAGCTACTTAGGAGGCTGAGGCAGGAAAATCACTTAAACCCAGGAAGCGGAGGTTGTGGTGAGCCTAGATTGCACCACTGCACTCCAACCTGGCAACAGAGTGAGACTCCATCTCAAAAAAAAAAAGAAAAAAAAAACCACAGTGGTTTTAGTATATTCATAAATTTGTGCAACCATTAACACCATCTAATGTGTTCAGCGTTAGACTGATGATCTCCAAACTTTTTTTACTGATAGAATTTTTCCCCTCAAATAATTTTAAGTGGGGCCCCCCAATAGATATAAAAATCGATGGAAACAGAGGCATTCTTTGGAGGGCAGGAGGAGACCAAGGTCCTCACCACTCAGCACTCCATGGGGGCGTATCTTGAAAGCTGTCCAGGTTATGCCTCTTTCAAAGACAGAGTAAAGTGATGTCCCCAGGACAAAGCTACCAGATCAGTGGAAAGACCACAGGGAAGCAGGAAACAGGGCTTCTGGCTTAGTTCTGCCCTTCCCTTACTATGAAGCATCGAGCAGGTTACCTTTTATGGACCTCAGTCTTTTCATCAATACCATGAGCAGGTTCAACTTGGTCTCTGTAAGTCCTCCAAGCTCTCTAACACTGGTCTCAGTGCAAGTGGCTGCAGTCATGGGAGACTATGATTTTGTTAGAGAAGAGCTATCAGATAGGTCAAAAACTCCCAGCTTCATGTGTGCATCTAAACAAACTCCCATGCCCTGGTTGTCTTTAATTTCTTGCCATCTCTCCCATTCCTTTCCCTTCAGGACATGCCTTAAGCTCCAGGTCTTCACGCAGCTTAGATGCAACTATTTTACGGATCTTAAGGGAGACCTTTATCTAGCTGCAGATATCATAAAACTTTAAGGTTTGCCCCTTAGCCTCCCAAACTGAGTTTTTATTTTTTTTATTTTTATTTTTTGAGGCAGTCTCACTGTGTTGCCCAGGCTGGAGTGCAGTGGTGCGATTCCGGCTCACTGCAACCTCCATCTCTGGGTTCAAGCAATTCTAGTGCCTCAGCCTCTCGAGTAGCTGGGACTACAGGTACGTGCCACCGCACCCGGCTAATTTTTGTATTTTTAGTAGAGATGGGGTTTCACCATATTGGCTAGGCTGGTCTCAAACTCCTGACCTCGTGATCTACCCACCTTGGCCTCCCTAAAGTGCTGGGATTACAGGCATGAACCACCATGCCCAGCCCCAAACCTGAATTTTTATTGCATGGGTCAGGGTTGCTTTCCTGTTCTACATAAGTTGATTTAACCAGAAGAGAGTCTTCCAACTTTCCTTCTGAGGACCAAGAGTAGCAACCTATACAGATTCCCTTCTCTTTCCTCTCCCTGGCAGCCAGCTGCCTTTGACACATTACACATATACTAGCTGAGGGGAAAGTCCTTTGTCAAGTTGCCCTGGCAACAGCTTCAGATACTGTTTTAGTTGTCCTGTTTAAGATAACCACAGCCTAAAAGAGAACATCTGAATGGAAAATGAACCAGCCATCATGCATCTGTGGGGGCCACAGGAAGCAGGTGGCTGCCAGCTCTAGCTTTCTGCGTAGCAAATCCTAGCCCAGGGTAGGTGTTTTGTCAGCTACTGCCTGGAAAATTCAGTGTCCTGCAGATTCCCCATCACAGTGAATCATCGCATCAGCCAGAGAGCAAGTTGACTCATGATTGCTGTACTGCAGACAACACAGATGATTTAAGAACAAGCTATTGTCAGTAAGTTAAGTCAAATATTTGCAGTAGCTCCAGAGGGCAGCTTGGAAGGCAGCCTTTCCTCTTGCCATCCCTGTCTGCTGCTCTTTCCAGCTCTCTGAGCCCAGACCTTCTGGAGCAGGCGTCCCCAAACTTTTTACACAGGGGGCCAGTTCACTGTCCCTCAGACCGTTGGAGGGCCGCCACATACTGTGCTCCTCTCACTGACCACCAATGAAAGAGGTGCCCCTTCCTGAAGTGTGGCGGGGGGCCAGATAAATGGCCTGAGGGGGCTGCAAGTGGCCCATGGGCCATAGTTTGGGGACGCCTGTTCTTGAGCCTTCCTGACAAGAGTGTCCTTTTGCTCCACATCATTTTACACCTGCCAGCAAGTCATTATCTGAGAGTCCAGCCCAGAAGTTCCAAACAGGTCTTCACAGGGATTCAGAGCTTTGTAGAGGAAAGGGGGGCCTGGGGGAAGAGGAATAGAAGTCTCTAGGCCCTTTACTGCTACTTCATCCAATAGCCAGCTCCTTTTCATTGTTTTGGGTTTTTTGGTTTTTTTTGAGGTGGAGCCTCACTCTGTTACCCAGGCTGGAGTGCACTAGCATGATCTTGGCTCACTGCAACCTCTGCCTCCCAAGTTCAAGCAATTCTGCTTCAGCCACCCCAGTAGCTAGGATTCAAGGTACGTGCCACTATGCCCAGCTAAATTTTTTTTTTTTTTTTTGAGACGGAGTCTTGCTCTGTTGCACAGGCTGGAATGCAGTGGTGCAATCTCGGCTCACTGCAACCTCCGCCTCCCAGGTTCAAGTGATTCTCCTGCCTCAGCTTCCCCAGTAGCTGGAATTACAGGCACCTGCTACCACACCTGGCTAATTTTTAGTAGAGATGGGATTTCACCATATTGGCCAGGCTGGTCTAACTCCTGACCTCAGGTGATCTGCCTGCCTTGGCCTCCCAAAGTGCTGGGATTACAGGTGTGAGCTACAGCGTCTTGCCCTAGTTAATTTTTTTATTTTTTGTAGAGACAGGGTTTCGCCGTGTTAGCTAGTCTGCTCTCCAACTCCTGACCTCAAGGGATCCACCTGCCTTGGCCTCCCAAGGTGCTGAGATTACAGGTGTGAGCTACCACACCCAGCCTGTCCTTTTCATTGTTTGAATGGAAGTTTGCAGCATTTTATTTGGATAAAAGGTTTTGCTGCCAGGAAGTCAAAAGAAAGAGAAGGAGAGAAACGAGAAAAGGAAAAGAAAGCAAAATGCATCAACTCATCTAACCCCTCGTTTTGCTGGATTCTCAGTGTAGAGATGGGGCCCTGAGAAGTGAGATGATTCGTCTGTGCTCACATAGCTGGAGCACTGGCTTTAGACAGTGATTCTTTCAGACCCTGTGCGTCTATCAATATTCTCCGTAGAATCTGAGGGGTGGCAAGGTCAGAAGCCCCTCACCAGGTCCCATCTGATGTGAAGTCCTCCCCATAGATTCCAAAGCATGGTACCCAGCCTCTGTGCAGATGCTCCCATGACCAGGCTTAGTCTATCACAAGGCAGCCCCCGGCCCTGTGGGTGAGAAGTCAAGAAAAAGCCTCACCCTGAGCCCACGCTCCTTCCCTGTAGCTTTCCCTTTAGACCTGGTTTTGCTTCCTGAACTGGTGTAGCACAGATCTCCCCCGCCCCGTAGAGTGTCTCTTCAGAAACCATACCCGCTTCAAGGTCCCCAACTCAAACCAATGAGCTTTGGAAACCTACTGATTCCTAGGGCTCAGTGAGACCCACACCTCTGGAGGGAAGACCTGGGAATCTGTATTTTTGCTTCCCACGTGATGCCATTTGGTGTGGGAACCACTGACCCATTCTCATCTTAAGCCTGTGTAGGATTCCTTTCCTTCCTTCCTTCTTTTCTTCTTTCTTTCTCCTCTCCCTCTCCGTATCCCTCCCTTGCTTTCTCATCTGGAATAGATATTTATACAGGTGGTGCTTGATCATCCCAAGGATGCAGTTGTCAGGAGACTTGTCACAAAATCCAGATTTGCTAATACCACACCTGCACTTTACATCATGCAGTAAAGTACAATTTTAAAAATTTAAGTGATGCTTTTTTTTTTTTTTTTTTTTTTTTGAGACGGAGTCTCCCAGAGAGAGTTCAAGCAATTCTCGTACCTCAGCCTCCTGAGTAGCTGGGATTACATGCACCCACCACCACACCTGGCTAGTTTTTGTATTTTTAGCAGACGTGGGATTTCACCATGTTGGCCAGGCCCTTCTCAAACTCCTGACCTCAGGTGATCTGCCCACTCTGGCCTCCCAAAGTGCTGGATTACAGGTGTGAGCCACTGTGCCCAGTGAAAATTTAAGTGATGCTTTCCAGCCCTTAATGAGAATACCTGGGCTTTGGATCATGAGGAGGGACTGGAAAAGCCAGGAGATGGTGGGGAGGCAGGGCCAGCTAAACCCCTTCCTTGCTCGGGGTTCACTTCTGCACATCTGCCTCGTTGCATGTTGGGTCCAGATGCATGTCTTGGGGATGGTGTCAATCACCACACGTCCTGACTTTTTCAGGGCACTTACTAATGATAAACTAAAAATATTAAATCTGATGATCCCGGGATCCTCTACATAAACAATCTAACGTATTAGCCTAGTGTATACACATAGTAAAATATTACAAAGATTCATACATTGAAAGTTTATACTTTCACTTCTATCTCACACCACACACAACAATTAACACAAAATAGATCAAAGCCCTAAATGTAAGAGCTGAAACTATAAGATTCTTAGAAGAAACTATAGGGATAAGTCTTTATGATCTTGGATTTGGCAATGGATTCTTAGATATGATATCAAAAGCAAGAGC